TTTAAAGATTTTATTTATTTATTATGTATATAACATTCTGCTTCCATGTATATCTGCACATCAGAAGAGGGTACCAGACCTCATAACGGATGGTTGTGAGCCACCATGTGGTTGCTGGGAATTGAACTCAGAACCTCTGGAAGAGCAGTCGGTGCTTTTAACCTCTGAGCCATCTCTCCAGCCTGATCATTGATAATTTAAATACTGATTTTTGCTTTGTTTTGCTTTGCTTTGTTTGCGATAGGATCTTACTATATAGCCCTGGCCCACTTGGAACTTGCTATGTGGATCAGGCTGGCCTGGAACTCATAGGGATCCAGTGCCTGCCTTTGCCTCTCTGCCTCTTGGGTGCTTGAAATAAAGGCCTACTTCTGGCTAAGGAGTAATATTAGATAAGTACTTTAAGAACCTGTTTATTGCCCTTGAGTTCTCTGTCTTTAAAAATTATTTATTTTTATTTTATGTGCATTGTTGTTTTGCCTGCGTATATGTCTTATGTGAGGGTGTTGGGTTCCCTGGAACTAGAGTTACAAACAGTTGTGAGCTGCCATGTGGCTTCTGGGAATTGAATCTGGGTCCTCTGGAAGAGCAGTATGTGTTCTTAACAGCTGAGCCATTTCTCCAGTACTGCTCTTGAGTTCTTTATACTGTTTAAAAAATATTTATTTATGTATTTTATATATATATGAGTGCTATTTGCATGTATGCCTGCATGATGGAAGAGGGTATCAGACAGAAGGTATCCACATGGTAGATGGTTGTCATCTACCATGTGGGTGCTGGGAGTTAAACTAAGGACCTCTGAAAGAGCAGGCAGTGTGCCTTTAACCACTGAGCCGTCTCTCCAGCCCTATACTGTTGATTTTTAACTTTTTTTTTTCCATTTTTAATCATAGTGTTGTAAGAGTAATTTGTAAATTATGTTTTGTAGTTTGAAGAGTTCCAGTAGAAATTTTTTGTAGACAGACACTGCCCTCCTGTGGCTATAATAAGGTAGCTGTTTTGGAAAACTGCTAGCCTACATTGAGCTTGTCGTAAAAAATATATACTATGGTATGCCTCCCTTGGCATCCTTCCCCCTTTCAAGAGTTTTCCTCACTTTTTCTTAGTAAATCTACACAAAGAAGGTTTAGTGTTTCTGCTCAGAAATATTTTAATTTTTCTTTTCAGGTTCTTTCTAATATATGTATGTATTTTTTTCATTCTTTATATTTTCTTAGGGGAATTAAGATAGTTAAATATAACCTGGGCAGTGTTGGTACACGCCTTTAATCCCAGCACTCAGAAGGCAGATGCAGGTGGATATCTGAGTTTGAGCCCAGCCTAGTCTACAAAGCAAGTCTAGCAGCGTAGCCAGGCCTGTCACACATAGAAATCCTGTCTCAGACTCCCCCCCCCCCAAGATAATTAAATATAAACAAAAATTGTTATTAAAAGGAGAAATTGCCCTTTTTTATCAGTAGTATTTATTTGTGAAGTCATATGCACAAATCTCAGAAAACAACTTGCAAGAGCCACTTCTCTCCCTCTCCTGCTTTGGTCTTAGGGATTGAACTCAGGTCATTAGGCTTGGCAGCAGGTGTTCTCACCTGCTGATCTGATACCTCACCATCCCTGGTTTTGTTTTGTTTTGTTGCCCAGCTGTTATGGAACTCATTATGTAGTCCAGACTAACATTGAATTTTGCTGCAATATTCCTGTCTCTCCTAAGTGTTGTAGTTCCCAGCACAAATCACTTTGAGGGGGCTACAAACTCTACATATGTCGTCTAGGCTGGCTTCTGACTCTCGGTACTGCTGCCTCACCCTCTAACGTGCTAGAATCAGTCAGACACCTTTCTGCCCAGCTTAACCAAAGTACTGTTGCATGTGAACAAAAGTGTTTTACTCATGATATTTTAGTCTTGGTTTTTCTTGCAGCATAGTGTAATTTCTGAACAGGAGTGATTTTTTTCACTTAATTAATTAGTTTATTTTGGTTTTTCGAGACAGGGTTTCTCTGTTTAACAGCTCTGGGGCTGTCCTGGAACTCACTTTGTAGACCAGGCTGGTCTCAAACTCAAAGAGATCCAACTTCCTCTGCCTCCCAGTACTGGGGTTAAAAGGCATGCACCACCACTCCTGGCTCAGAGGGGTGACTTTTATAATGAGTTTTGGAATTTATGATTATTTTCTGTTTGGTTTTGTTTAATTAGTAAACATTAATACACTTATAGTGAAAACTTCAGAAAAAACAAAAGGTTAATAGCCCAAGGAAAACATGCTCTTTTGTTTATTTCTTCTGAGTAATGCTGGTGAAATTTTTGATGAAGAAATAGAATGTGGCAAAGATTTTGGTGAGCAGAGGCAATCCTGCTTCAGCATTCTGAGTGCTGGGGTTAAAGACACACATCACCATTTCTTTTTCTTTTTAAGATTTATTTATTATGAATACAGTGTTTCATCTGCATGTATGCCTGCAATCCAGAAGAGGGCACAAGATCTCATTGCAGATGGTGTGAGCTATCATGTGATTGCTGGAAATTGAACTCAGGACCTCAGGAAGAGCAGCCAGTGCTCTTAACCACTGAGCTGTCTGTTAAGTGTTTTACTTCTGCATACTAAATTCAAGATATCACCATATCTTGAAGCATAGTTTCTTGTGTCTCATAATCTTAACATTTGGGTCTGTTGTATGTAATTTGTCTTTTGTGAGTTATGTTGAGTGATTTCACATTATGTATTTTGACATTTTGATGCTGTTAGGATCACACATCCACGAGGGGCCAAGGATATTACTATTGGGTACAGTGCTGCATAGCATATAAGAAGATCTGGAATCCATCTCTAGCACTAACCAGATGGATGTAGAGTGTCTGAAATTGTAGCACTGGGGAGGTAGAGAGGGGAAGATCAGAAGTTCAGGGCTTACTTGGCTGTGTAGGGAGTTTATGGATAAGCAACCTGGGCTAGAGAGAGAATCTGTCCTTAAACCAAACTAAAAGAAAATATCAAATGCTTGTTTAAATCCTTTGGGGAAATTTTTTGTTTGTTTTTGAGACAAGAGTCTTACTGTGTAACCTTGACTGGCTTTGAACTCACAGAGATCTGCCCATCACTACCTCCAGTGCTGGGATTAAAGGAATATGCTACCATGCCTGGCATTATTAGCTTTAATTCCTAAGTTTCTACCAGTCTTCTGCATACTAAATTTCAAAACATCTTAATTTTTAGAACTCTTGCAGCTATCTGCATCTATTTTGAATTTATGTCAGCTAGTGGCTAGTTTCAAAGTGTGATCTTTGAAAGTCTATAGTTGCTGCTATGTTGCCTGGGTAGATGTAGAGAGGAACAGGACAATGACATACCCTAAATCCTAAAAACAAGTTGGAAGAATTCTCTTCCTCTGTGACATTAGTAAGGGCTCCTTTTACTGTGCTTCAGAGCAAAAATGACAAAATTTGTCTTGGATCACCACTTTCTGTTTTAGTGTGCTCTTGGCGTTTCAGGTTGCTGTTGAGGTTGGGCCAGGAGGTTGTAGAGAAAACAAAACCAGGAAACCCACTTCTGACTATACTGTGTTTTTTTCTAATTGTGTTTTCCTTTTATTTGCTACCATTTTCAGTGTCCTCAAATACTGATTCCATTCATTCTGTCCAGATTTTTAATTAAATTTAATGAGAAAGAACAAACTAAGTTTGCTGTCTTTATTGCATCCAAAATACTGACACTTTTTTTTTTTTTTTTTTAAATAAATGAAGCATGGATTTAGCTGGGCATGGGCATGGTGGTGCATGCCTTTAATCTCAGCACTTAGGAGGCAGAGGAAGGTGGATCTCTAATTTCGAGGCCAGCCTGGTCTACAAAGTGAGTTCCAGGACAGCCATTCTTTCTTTCTTTCTTTCTTTCTTTCTTTCTTTCTTTTTTTGTTTTTCCAAGACAGGGTTTCTCTGTGTAGCTTTGGAGTAGCCAAGGCTATTTTACATAGAGAAACCCTACTGGGGTGCAGGAGGAAGCATGGATTTAACTTAGTTTGAGGGCGTAGTTCATAGTGGGGAAACATGATGGTAGGGGTGTGAGCTAATACTACATTTACAGTCAATAGAGATAGATATTCCACAGAGGCACCTTTAATATAGTTATATGTTCATTTATTTGATTAAGAATTTATTGTGTGTCCATGTAGTAGTAGTAGTAGTAGGGTTTTTTTGTTTGTTTGTTTTGATTTTTGTATGCAGTTATCTGCATGCATGCTTGCACACCAGAAGAGGGCACCAGATCTCATTACAGATGGTTGTGAGCCATCATGTGGTTGCTGGGAATTGAATTCAGGTCCTCTGGAAGAACAGCCAGTGCTCTTAACCTCTGAGCCATCTCTCCAGCCCTAGTAGTAGTTTTTGATAGAAATGTAAAAAAAAAAAAAAAAAAAATTTAGTCCTGACTGTCTTGGAACTCACTCTGTAGACCAGATTTGCCTTGAACTCACAGAAATCCACCTGCCTCTGCCTCCTGAGTTCTGGGATTAAAGGTATATGCCACTATACCCTGCTAAAGCAGATTTTTTTTTTTTTTTTCCCCTTCAAGGGGGAAAAAACCCTTCAAGAGAGGGTTTCTCTGTGGCTTTGGAGGCTGTCCTGGCACTTGCTCTATAGACCAGGCTGGTCTTGAACTCACAGAAATCTGCCTGCCTCTGCCTCCTGAGTGCTGGCATTAAAGGCGTGTGCCACCACTGCCCAGCTCTAAAGTAGATAATATTAAAATGCATACAGTGGTGGCTTATGGGAGTGGAGACTAAAAGTAAGCAATTTTATATTTATTAATATGAGTAATTAAAATGTTAATTTTAGCCTTTTGGATCTATTTCTGCTTTAGAATTTGACTTATTTGTGATTGAAAAAGATTTGGGTGAAGTCTATATATGTATGTTTTAGATCTAATTATTGACACAGTTATAATAATAGACAGTTATAAGAATGAGAACTTAAAATAAGGATTCATTGTTACTATTTCCTTGTTTCTCAGGTCTTAGAAAAATACCCCAATACACCCATGAGTCATAAAGAAATTCTTCAAGTTATTCAGAGAGAAGGACTAAAGGAAATCAGGTGAGTTATTAAATTTTACTACTAATGATTATGTTTGGAAGGAGGGACTAGGCCCTCCCCCAAACAATATGACAGACTTTGAAGGTCCCTGATTGGGGGGGGCTCACAATCTCTGGGGAGGAGTTGGGGGGTGGTTTGGGGGGATTGGTGGAGAACATGGGAGGATGGGAGGGCAAGGGAATGGGGGGGATAGATATGTAAATATGAGTAGTAATTAAAGAATTTAAATAAAAAAAGAAAAAATAATTGTTTGGTTAGAGTATCTAATAATTAGTATATATTGGTATTCTTTGTTTTAAACATTCATTGGGAGGATAATGTACTTTATGAACTTCAGTTTATTCATCTGTCAGTCCTTTGGGTTCTTAAGTCATAGTATTTATAAGATTAAAAGTAAGTAATGCAAATTCTTTATGAGAAGGTAAGTAGTTGTCTTTCAAAGACCATGCACCTTGATTTTTAGGAAGGCTTGGAGTCATCTTTAAGCTGTCACCTATCACTTTGTGCTTGGTAATTGGATAAAAACTATTACACAGCAGCTTCAGAAGTAGGCAGTGTAAGAAGGAAAAAGATATGAAATGGGGCTAGGCTGTGGTGTCGCACAGCCTTTAATCCCAGTACTTGGGAGGCAGAGGCAGGTGAATCTGGTCTACAAAGCTACACAGAGAAACCCTGTCTCTAAAAACCAAAAAAAAAAAAAAAAAAAAAAAAAAAAGAGAGGGAGAGAGAGAGAGAAAGAAATGGAAAAGATCTTTGTGTGTCAGAGAAAGTCTTTACTCGGGCATCATGACACAAGCCTATAGTTCAAGATGCTTGAAAGAGGCTAAAGCTGGAAGATCACTTGAACCTATGAGTTCTAGACCAGCTTGGGCTACATAGCAAGATCCTCTCCCCCAAAACAAACAGGGCTGCCAAGATGTCTCAAGGAGTTTACAGTTAGAGAAGGTGCTAGAACAGTGGTTGAGAGCTTCCATCTTGATTCACAAAGCATGAGACAGAGTGAGCTAAGCTGGGAATTAGGTGGGATTTTGAGTCCTCGAAGTCCACTCCCAGTGACACATTGGGATGTTCCCAAACCATCCCAGTAGTTGGGGACATTTAAGTATATGAAGCTATGGGGACCATTCTCTTTATGAACTATCACACCCTGTTTCACAACATCAACCCAAAATAAAGATACACAATTTGTAGTGTTTTTTTTTGAGACAGGGTTTCTTTGTAGCCCTGGCTATCCTAGAACTCATTCAGTAGACCAGGCTTGCCTTGAAATCAGAGATCCTTCTGTCCTCTACCCCCCCCCTCCCCCCCAGTTTGGGATGCACTACTATGGCCAGGCAAGCAAACGAACAAAAACAAGAACAAGACAAACAAGAACTCTTCTCTTGTGAAGAGCTCTTCACTTCTTTTTTCCCACCTCTCCAGCACCCCTTCATTTGTCCTGGTGGCATTGGGGCCTCTGTGTGTCACATAGTATACCATTCTGTCCTGTCAGATTTACTAGCAGATTTTGATTGCAGTGAAGCACTGGTCTGTTCAAGGCCTCTGGTTTCTGGTACATCATCATCCCTGGATCCTCACTGGAACTTGCCCTGAGTCATGGAGATCCTGGCAGTATTGTTCCACAGGACCAATCCCTTCACAAGCTCCAGCATGTCCTGGATGGGATAGAGTAGGGTGGGCCAACCCAAGGACCAGCTGTGAGCCTAGATGGTAACTGAGCTGGTCAGTATGGACCACTGGGACCTTCTGTCTCAGGTGAGAGGGCAGAGTCAGCTCCCCTATATCCATACCCTCAGGGTCACCCATGCCCTCAGGATTGGTTTACTCTCACTTGCAGTGAGTGGTGGGGCCATCTCTCCCATGAGGATTTGGGCTGGCTCTCTTGCTGCAATGTCCAGCCATAGGCAAGACCAGCTTTCCCTGGGCCAGTGAAGGGTGAGGCTGGCTCAGCAGGGCCCTCTGATTTCATCTCCATGGTTCCTATGGGCCCCTGACATGACACAGGTCACAGACATCAACACAGACCCCAGCTGCAGCTGCAGCTGCAGCTGGGCTACGGACCCAAGGCATGGACCTTGGCAGCAGCTGGGTCTGTATTTTCCCATTGCCCCAGGTAGCAGCATAGGCCACTAAGATTGGCATGGGCCCCAGTGTTAGTGTAGCCCTCAGACACTGACATGTCCCCAGACCTTATGTGTCTGTAATGTTTTCAATGGTAACAGGAGCCTCTGAAGTCAACACAGATGCTGGCTGCAGTAGGGCCACAGACCCAGACATGGCCTCCACCTGTAGCTCTGGCCCGAATGTCATCATGCCATTGGCTAGAAGTGTAGGCTGCTCAGATCTGCATAGCCCCTATGATACCACCCTGGGTTCAAGTGGCTCACCTGACCCTGGGCACTCTCATGGCCCTTTGTGGAAACAGGAACAACATACGTCAATCCAGACCTTGGCTGTTATAGGACTAAAGACTCAGACATGGCCTTCAGGAGCAGCCTAGGCCCAGATGACAATGTGGGCCCGGGTATCAGCACAGACCACCCAGATCTATATGGCTCCCCAGACTTCAACAGGTCCATAGGCTGCAGCCGAGATCCCAGGCCTTTGTGTGGGTCCTAGTGGCAACTTTGACCACAGACTTCAACACAGACCCCAGCTGCAGCTGGACCACAGACCCAAACATGGTCCCAGGTAGTATCCTGGCTCCAGGTGGAAGCACTGACCACTCAGATCAGCATGGCTCTGGCAGCAGCATGGCCCCTGGACACCAACAAGGCCACGGGTTGCAGCCCAGACTCCAGGCTTCGTGTGGCCTTTGGTGGCAACAAGGACCACAGACCTCAGCTGTATGATCACGGACCCAGCCAGATAGGATCCTTGGCAGCAGCTGGGGTCTTTTTGTTACCATAGCTCCAGGTAGTTGTGAAGGCCACCCAGATTGTCACGGCCCTAGCGGCAGTGTGGCCCCTGGATACCAATACAGCTCCAGGTGGTGGCCCAGACCACTGGAATTGGCTTGGCCCTCGATGGCAACAGGAGCCACAAACATCAACACAGACCCTGGCTGCAGTAGGGCCATGGACCCGGACATGGCCTCCAGCTGCAGCTCTGGCCTGGATGTTGCCACTGCATCAGGTACATGTTACTCAGGTCTGTATAGCCTTGGCTGCATCATGGCCCTTGGGTACCAACATGGTTTCAAGTGGCTGATCAGACTCAGGCAGCCAACCAGACAGCCTTTCGTTACAACAGGAGTCACAGATGTTGGTTCAGACCCTGGCTGCTGAAGAGCCACAGGCCCAGACATGACCCCATGTGTCAAGCAGACCTCCCCCATCGGCCTATTATTTCACCATGGCCCCAGGTGGCAAGCAGGCCTCCAACATCAGCCTTCTCACTGTCTTAATTTCTTCTGTTCTGTATCTTTCCACAGCATATGAATCATTATTTCTCTTTCTCTCACATTTCTCCACCACATACTTGCTCACCATTATGGGACTTACCTGCCTGATGCCTGGCTAGCCCCCTCTTGAGCAGAATTGTAAAGGGGGGGCGGCATGGATGTCTTTCTGCCAGCCAGGGACTTGAGGACACTAGTTGACCTGTGGCTGGCTAGCACTCACTTAAGCATGACTCCAGAAGGAGGGGGGGGGGGTGGGGTGTGGATATATCTTCCTGACAGCTAGGACTTTTAGGGCCCCCGAGATTCTAATTTTCTTTACTGTGATATGCTTCAGATTTGCTTTTTTTTGTGGTAGTGGCGATTAAATACAAGGCATCATTGGATTCCATGTAGGTGAGAGATCTGCCCCTGAGTAATGTACCCAGACCTTGAGATATTTTCAATTGGTTCTTTTCTAGAGCAAAAATTTCCCCTCTGCGTGCAAGGGGCACAATAAAGAGAACACTGAAATGGCTTCTTCATTAGGGAGAAGGTATTTATTGTGAATAAGAGAAAATATCTAGAAGCATCTGGAAGAGTTCAGAGCAGTGAGAAAAAGAAGTAGACTGGTTATTAGACAGGGCTATTTGCAAGAGAAGTGAGAGCATGGGGTAGAAAAACCATGCCTGTTACAAGGAGGACAAGAAGCTGGGGAGAGGAGGGAAGCGCCGGGAGGCTAATGTGGACTTTGACATGTGTAAAAGGTATTTGTGATACCTAGGGAGCCTGGAGGCCTGCATGGGCTTTCATATGTTGATAGCTGCCACAGCCGTGTCTCTTCTATAGTCCAGCTTGAGCTCATTTCTATATATGTGAACTGTCTGAGACAGAACTGCCCTTCCCTTTTGAGCTGGTGCTGTGGTGAATGTCTATATCTCAGCTTCTTGGGAGGTTGAGACTGGAACATTGCACATTTAGTCTGGCTAGAGTAACCTAGTAAGACCCTGTCTCAGAAAGGAACAAACCAAAAATCAGAAAGGGGCCAGTGAGATAGATCAGCAGTTAAGGTGCCTGCTGCCAAGCCTGACAGTCCCAGTTTGAGCCTTGGAACCCACATGGTGGAAGGAGAGAATCAGCATCCTGTATGTTCCCTGGTGTCCATGTGCCTATCATATGAGGTAAACCCACCCACACAAACTTTAAAAACAAACAGCAGAAGAAAAAGAAGCTTTGATTGTGGTTACTTGTCAATAAGTTGAAAATTAGTGAGCCTACCTCATTTTGATGTAATAGCTTCCTGAAAATTTAAGTGTAAGCATTTATAAAACATGAAAAGGCTGTGGTGGTGGTAGCTCATGCCTTTAATCCCAGCACTCAAGGCAGAGGCAGGTAGAACTCTGTGAGTTTGAGGCCAGCCTAGTCTACAAAGTGAGTTCCAGTACAGCCAGGGTTACACAGAGAAACCCTGTCTCAAAAAATAAAAATAAACAAACAAATAAAAAAATAAATAAAAGAAGGAAGGAAGGAAGACAGACAGACAGATGGGCCCTAGGTAGAGAGATGGCTCAGTGGTTAAGAGCACTGACTGATCTTCATAGGACCCAGGTTCTGTTTCCAACAACCACATGGCATCTCACAACTGTCTGTAACTAGTTTCGGGGGACCTGATGCCCATGGTATAACACCAATGCACATTAAAAAGTAAATAACAACAAAAAAAATGGAATAAAGAGTGAAGAATTTTTTTAAAAGATTTTTTAAAAATTTATTTCTGTCTCTGTCTATTTATATCTATACAACATTCTGCTTCCATGTATATCTGCACACCAGAAGAGGGCACCATATCTCATAATGGATGGTTGTGAGCCACCATGTGGTTGCTGGGAATTGAACTCATGACCTCTGGAAGGGCAGTCAGTGCTCCTAACCTCTGAGCCATCTCTCCAGCCCCCAAAGAATGAAGGACTTTCTAAGATGACTCAAAGATAAAAGCATTTGCTATACACACCACAGTTTGACTTCGGGATCCTATGGTAGGA